GTTCAAGCCTTAGTACTGGCACTAGAATTTTAAAATACAGAAAAAAGAAATCCTCCCACAACTCCATTTTTAACCAAATGAGGATGCTAACTCCATGGTTCTAAAATGTCCCTATTTCAGCAAGTCAAGGGAGTATTATTCTCCTTAAGGCCCCTCTAATGCTGCTGGGTGACTAGCAGAACCTGCAAGGTATTTACTGAGGCTTCACTAGTACCAATCACAAGGCTCCCTAACTTCTTCTTAGTGGGTCTACAGAATCACAAATGTGTGCTAGTCCAGGTTAAAAATCCCTTAACCTAAATGCTTGAGACCAAAAGTTTTTCAGATTTTGGGTCTTTTCCTATTCATAGATCTCTGATTCAGGATACTCCATTGATAATGGTTATTCTCATTCTATAGAGAAGGAAACAAACTTTCAGAGAGCAGGCAGCTCTCCTAGATCCAGGAGAGATGGGGGCAGATGCAATGTTCCCAGGAGCCTGTCTGTGCAGGACCAGCTGGGCTCCTTCCCAACCACGTCACTGAAACAGAGCACTGCTAAATATCACACGAGATGTGCTTAGACAACATTACATAATAGTCAATATGCTGAGAAGCAGTACTGTCCCTCCACCAGAGTCATTCACAATTCTTAGTCTGGGCTTTCACAATTGGCTTTCTAGTCAGACCCAGACAAGGCTCTAGTTTGAATTCTAATGAGGATCAGGCACACTGAATATTTAAACTGCAATTACAAAGATGCTAGTTTTATGTAAATGTCCTTAATACAAGAAACAGATCTGAAAATACACTGAAGAACTAAGTGAACCTATCCGTCTAATATGCCTTTAGAATCTAAAAAACAACAACAACAACAAACAATATTGCTTTCTGCTTGGTGCTATCATAGGGGTATGGCCGAGAGAAGAAAAGGGAGGAAAAGACCACACAAAGATCGCAGTAAAAATCTTAAAAGCCTGGGCTCTGGAATGAAAGGTCCACAAAGAGGTGCTTGGATCCTTTGTTAACAACTGAACAAACGAATTCATCATTGGACCCTTCTCCTGTGTGGCCCCTGGCAGGTCTTGCTGTGTTTATAACTAGAAATCCCCTTGCAGCTCAAGCGTCTATGACTGATGCGTCAGAACATCATGGAAAATACGCACAGGGCAGAAACAAAAGGTCATTTCATGGTTCACAGCCTAGTTTTACACCCTTTGAGTAAAAGATGATGAGCCACAGCCCTGCCACACCTTGCTCAAGTCCTCTAGGTTACACAGTAATGAGTGCTCACCATGTTAGCTGCTATCAGTTACACTTGAATGAGCTATTTGATTCCAGCAGCTGCATGTGCAAGTACACACTTCCACTTAAAATCATCAGTCTGGCCTTGCATTTGAGAAAAGCAGGTGATGAACTCTTTGCTTGGTCTTGAGGTTCTTAATCTCTGGCCACTCCAATGCCGTTCCTATTAAGATTGTATCTTTTTATTTTTTTTGTCCATTATGGAACTTGAACTCTGGGCCTAGACGCTGTCCCTTAGCTCTTCAGTTCAAAGTGAGTGCTCTATCACTTGAGCCACAGCACCACTTCTGGTTTTCTGGTGGTTAATTGGAGATAATAGTCTCATGGACTTTCCTGTCCACGCTGGTTTTGAACCGTGATCCTCAGATCTCAGTCTCCTGGCTAGCTAGGATTACAGGCGTGAGCCATCAATGAGTGACCAGCTAATACTACATCTTCTAAATGCTAATATTTATGAAAAGGGAATATGGTTAATTGGTGGTTTTTATTCCCCTGCCCAGATTTGTCCTCTGGTTGAGTCTCTTTTGCTGGTACCAAAAATGTCCATTCAAGTTTCACTTACTTTTAATTTCTAGAAGTTCTATTTGGTCTTTTTAAAATTTCTCATGGTCCTTTTTGTAGTCCTCTTCTATCAAAATGCTCTCAAGCTTGTAACTTACATTTTTTAAATTAAAAAAAAAAAAAACAACCACAGGGCTGAGAAGGTGGCTCAGTGGTAGAGTGCTTGCCTTGCATGCATGAGGCCCTGGATTCGATTCTGCAGCACCACATAAGCAGGAAAAAAAGCCGGCAGTGGTGCTGTGGCTCAAGTGGTAGAGTGCTAGCCTTGAGCTGAAGAGCTGAGGGACAGCACCCAGGCCCACAGGCCCCACGACGGGCAAAAAATAAAAACAAAAACAAAAAAACAAAAAAAAACAGAACTAATGGTGGTGAATGCCTGTAATCCCATCTACTTGGGAGATGGACATAAGGAAGATTATGGTCTGAGGCCAGTTGGAGCAAATGTTATCAAGATCCCATCTTATTCAACAAGCCTAGCCTGGTAGTTCACATCTGTTGTCCTTGCTGTATAGAAGGCAAAGGTTGAAGGATCACGGTCACTCGCACTGGGCAAAACATGAAACCCTTTTTGAAAAATAACTGAAGCAAAAGAGGATTGGCATGTGGCTTAAGTGTGAAGGCCTGATTTCAAGCCCTAATACTGCCTGCTCCCTCAAAGGACTGAATTGGTTTTATAATGTATGTAAATATATGCTAGAACATGGATAATTATAATGAATTCCTTTATAACAAGAAGACATTCTGATACATGGTAAAAGCCAAATGCAAAGGAATATTTTATGACTTCAGCTATATAAGTACCTAGAGCAAACTGTAGAGATGGAAGGTAGAAAAGTAATTACAGGGCTGGGGAAGGGAGAAATGGGTAGTTATTATTTGAAAAGCAACTTTCAGTTAGGGGTGCTAAAGTTCTGGAGGGTTAGGGAAGAATGCAGTGTAGAACTCTTGTCTAGAATGGGCCAGGCTCTGAGTTCCACTCCCAGTACTAAAAAAAGAGAAAAAAAAAAAGTTCTGGTGATACCTACACAATGAAAATGTACTTATAATTTAAAAGCAGTTCAACTGGAAGCCAAGCATTGGTAGCTCACACCAGTAATTGTAGCTACTCAGGAGGCTGAGATCTGAGGCTCACAGTTAGAAGCCATCAGGGCAGGAAAGTTTGTACACTCTTATCACCAATTAACCAGCCAAAAGCCAGAAGTGGAGGTATTGCTCAAGAGGTAGAGTGCCAGCCTTGATTGAAAAAGAATAAATAAGAGTAAGAGGCCCCTGAGTTCAAAAGCTGTAGCACCTAAAAAGGTATAAAAAACTGGTAAATTTTTATTATATATGTGCCATAATTATAAAATGATTTTAATAACAGGTCAGATTAATTTTGCTATGGCCCGCTAAGCCTCAGTAAATTCCACCATATGCCTTCTGGCCACAGGCTTCCTATTAAATATAAGCCCAGCCTCCTCAGGGCTTTAAAGCCCACCTGCTGAACCCTCAACAGCATGCAAAAAAAAAGTATATAACAATAGATGTGTATGTAATAGCAAAATTTCCTTTAGAAATACAAATGCAAAAAATTCTTCTCCAAAGGTTAGCATGCTTAGTATGGAAGATAGGTAGGCTGCTGGAGTAAAGCACATGGGAGAATGGAAGATTCCATAGTAAAGAAGTAGTAAGAGGAGGAAGTCTAGGATGGGAAAGAAGACGGAGGGGGAGCCAGCACATGGTGTGCGTTCAGGTACCAGAGTCCACAGCCTTCATGCTATAGTCAGCATCTCTGTCAGCATGTGATTATGGTAAACCAGGAAGATGGCCAGCTCTGTATACTTATTCTATGTGGTTGAATTCTGACAGCTAAGCTGTCTGCTCTTTCACGATGAAGTTTATATAAAATCAAATTTAATATGGGGTGGAGATGAAAGTAAACCCCTATCTTGCAACCTTAAATCTTCTGGATGGCGTAAGAAGGACAAAGTCCATGTGGACAAAAATCACAGGAGATCAGTAAAGCAAACCCAGGAGGGATTTGTCTTTGAAAGAGAGCAGAAAGCAGGCATCTAGAGGAGCAGAATCACAGGCTGGGTTGGCAAGAACTGCTATGCAAGGGGGCAGCAGGACCAGTGGTGACAATGGAATTGAAATCCCCCGGAGGGCTCTACTTCCTGTGGGGTCCAGAAGACACATGGGCCTTACTCTCTTTCAGCTGGTTATAGATTCTCCATTAGAAAATAAAGGTGAGGACAGTAACACTTCTCCAGCTGCACATCTAGGGGATCTTTCTATAGCTGGATCCCTCAGGGGCATTCATTATGCTTTTCATATTGAGAAGGCTATGAGTCAAAGCTCAGATAACTATACTTCTAACTACTATTGTTCCTCTATTGTTAATAAACATACTAACTTTATAAGGTTAGTGCACCTTTATGAGCTGAAGCAGTAAGTAATCATGGTGGCTACTCTCAGCGTCACCACTCTGTGTCACCACTCACCTTTATACACAGGCCATATAAACTGAAACCTCATAAAACTAGAATCAGGATGACTTCAGAAGAACAGGTGGATGCATGGAGCTTCCAGGCATTCTTAAAAAATAAGGAGCACTTTTGCACTCCTCCTAGACTGCTTCAATGAGAACCCCCTATCCCAGGGACCAAGAAACAGTATTGCAGGTACTCCCAGTGATCCTTCTCTTGATACACAAACCCCTACTTCACATAGATGCTGTAAGTGACTTGATGGATAACGTGACAAAACATAGCATTTTAGCTTTGTCAGACTTCCAAAGCTCAGCAATTCTAACCTGCTCTATCGCAGTTGTACTAATAAAGATTCTGGCTAGAAAAGGCACAAAAACAGACAAGCTCACCTTGAACAAATTCACAAGATATCAATGGCCACTAAACTCCCTGATGCTGCCCAACTTCCAAACCATTTATCTCTATATACTTAACAAACTTTCTGATTTTAAATTAAAACAATGAATGATATTCCCTCTGAACCCTGAACAATTCATGTCATTTAAAAAAGAAAAAAAAATCTTTTAGCAATTTCAATACTTTACTAAGTGATACTGCCTGTATTAGAAGAGCCACTGAATCCCAAAGAAAATAGACAAACATGGGAATCTCACAGCTGAGTAAATTGAAAGCAAGATCTCTTACCACAGGATGTTGACTTTCTCTCCACCAGGTTCACACGTCTGGTTTCAGTGCGAAGTTTCTCATCTGTGTTCTCCACAAGATTGGCAAGGTCATCAATAATCTCTAGAAGGAAGAACAGAGATGCAGGATTAACACTCCCCAATATCCAGCATCACATCCCCACAGCTGTGGTAATTCTGGGTAGTAATGGTCTCCCAAGTGCAGCCAATGAAAAGGTATAGAACCCAGATACTTGCTTTAAGAAGCGAAATTGACTTAAAAAGGCAAAAACAAGCTTGGGCTAGTGGCTCCTGCCTGAAATCCAAGTTATTCAGGAAACTGAGATCTGAGGATGGAGGTTAAAAGCCAAAGGCCAAAAATAGAGCTGTGGTTCAAGTGGTAGAGCTCCAGCCTTGAGCACAAAAGCCAAGCAAGAGACCCTGAGTTCAAGCCCCAGTACTAGCACCAAATTGAAAAAAAAAAAAAAAAAAAAGAGTAAGGTAATAAAACTGGCAGAACACCATTTTAGGCAACAGAAAGAAAAGCAAGTTTGGGGAAAATAAGTCATGGGCCCACAAGTTTGTGCCCATCCAAGTTCTCTCTCAATTATACAGGTGACACAGCACAGAAGACTTTAGGAATCATCTCAGCCCTTCTTGAGAACATTACCCAATGATAAAACTAGCCAACAAAGAGCTGAATGAAAATTAAAAAATCTGGTGGCTCATACCTGTTATATCTTGGCCATTCCAGAGGCTGAGACTAGAAGAATCACATGAGCTCAAGGCCTCATTTTAACAAAAAAAGCCAAATATAATGGTGCACATCTGTCATTTGGAGGTATGAGGGAAGCATGAATAGGATTGCGGTTCTACAGTCAGAATATTGGTTTGTTTGTTTTTTTCAAGCAAAAAGTGAGACCCTAGTAGAAAATTAAAGTAAAAGGGTGCAGATCATGTCTGTAATTCTCAGAAGGCTGAGGAGGCTGAGAACTGAGGATCAAGGTTCAAAGCCAGGCCAGGCTAGAAAGTTTGTGAGAATTATGTCCAATTAAGTACCAAAAAGCTGAAAGTGGAGCTGAGGCTCAAGCAGTAGAATGCTAACTTGAGCAAAACAGCTCAGGGACAGCTCTCAAGCTTTGCAAGTTCAAGCCCCAGACTGGCATAAAGAAAAAAAAAAGGTGTGGTTCAGGTGGTAGAGCTTCTGCAAAGCAAATGCAAGGTCCTGATTTCAAACCCCAGTACCACAAAAAACAAACCTTAATGAAGAATCTACAGACTGTAACATAAGAGTTGATGGCTAGAACTGAATCCGTCTAAATACTGACCTGAGAATAAGCAAATATATGGATAACAGAAATATGTAAAAATGTCCCAAACAACATGTAACAACATAATTGAAATTAGGGAGCAGTGGGGAAAGGAAGAATGGAAAAAGTTGAAAACACAATTTCTTCATTTTGTACCGCAGGTCATAGCAAGCTGCTGAAAATTTAAACATATGGAAACTTAATAGTTTTTGGTATCACCAAAACGTCAATGGTTTATATCTTTTCTGTGTATGAACTTTCAGTAATTCTTATCTTTTAGTAATTACTGCTTCTTGTAATGATCCTTTCTGTAAAGTTCATCTTTTTTATGCTAATGCATTAAAAGTGAAATTAAGCACATTTAAATTTATTTTAAATGGCAACATTTAGAATGGCATATATATTATGATCCTAATTATGTGAAATTATTTCTATCTATCCTTTTACATTTACATACCCAGAGGGATTTATGCAGATGGTGGTAATCTAATGTTAATGATTATTCCTAGGTGGTAGGATCCTCTGTGATTGTGTTCTTCCTTATATTTTTCTAGATTGTTTAAATTTCTTACATTGAGCATACATTATTTCTTAAGTTTTGATTCTCTATTCTCCCTCTCCTATTTCTAGTGACTGCTTTAGAAATGCATTATCCAATGACAGTTACCATTTTTCTTTCAGTATTAAGTAAAGCAAATGAGGAAGCCAAAAAAATTCTCCAGAATGATCTCTGGGTTGAGTTTAAAAGGCTATGTGTTGCAAGGTAGGAAAAAAGGGCAGTCTAACAGTGAGAATAGTATGTGAAAGGCACAGTAGAGGAAACAAGGACCAGCCACTTGGATATTTATAATCTCATCTCACGGGCCATACAAAATTATCAACACAGGCTGAGGGGTTATGGGCAACTGATAAAATAGAGGCTGGATGTTCCCCACCCCTGCAAGAGTAGCATGACATTCTTCCAGTCTCTTGCAACCTTACCTACAAACCTTCTTGTAGGAGGCTGAAAGAAGAGTTACTGAACTGGAAGGTAGCTTAAGTGCAGAGCATTTGCCTAACATGCTCCACGCCATAGGTTGGATCCTCACCGTTACCAAAAAATTAAAAATAAAACAAGCTGGTTGCTGGTGATTCATGCCTATAATCCTAGCTACTCAGGAGAGATCTGAGGACTGCAGTTTGAAGCCAGCCAGAGCAGGAAAGTCTGTGACTCTTATCCCCAATTAGCAACCAAAAGGCCAGAAGTGGAGCTGTGGTTCACGTGGTAGAGCCCCAGCCTTGAGCAGCATTCAAGAGACAGCACCCAAACCCTGAGTTCAAGCCCAGTACCAGAACAAAAATAAATAAATAGTCGGGTGCTATGGCTCACACTTGTAATTCTAGTTACTCAGGAGGCTGAGGTCTGAGTATTGCAATTCAAAGCCAGCCAGAAGGGAAAAGTTTGTGAGACTCTTATCTCCAATTAACCACCAGAAAACTGAAAGTGGTGCTGTGGCTCAAAGTGATAGAGTGCTAACTCTGTGCAGAAATCAAGTACAGTGCCCAGACCCTGACTTCAATATATATACACACACATATACAAATACATATACATACAATATACAAATACATATATATACAGCATATAAAAATGTAAAACAAAACAAAAACCAAGCTATTTATAATATGAATGTAATTGCATGAATCTCAGGAAGATGGGTGGATAAGAAAATCAACATACTTAATGATGTCACTGACATGAAATATAAGGACAGATCTTGCTTACAAGATGAAATCAACAGTGGTTACCTCTGGGGTGGTAAGGAGTGACTAGAAATGGACAACTGGGAACTCACCAGGGAGGTAGAAATTCTCTAAATGGTTGTGCAAATGTATATGGCTGTCAAAAGCATGTAGAACTGAATACTATACATCTGTGCATTTTGTTTTGGATTATGCCAAATTGCAAATGTAAATCAGAAAAAAATTAGTTTACGTTATTATGATGTTTTAAGATTTTCTAATAAATAAAAAAGGAGGAAGGAAGAAATACTTTAGAATAACAAAATTTTAGACCTGTATGTAAGAAGTCACACCAGGGCTTTGTAGCCCTTTTGTGAAATCCTCAGCAGGGGACAGCTAATCTTTCCCTTAATACTCCAATGACTGCTAACATGGAAGTCTGGGGAGAAAATCAGTTCCACTGCTGAGCTACAGGGTGACTCTAATTATCACAAAGATTTTTATACAGAACTGAAAATTTGTCTGCTTTCAACTTTGACCTTAGTTATTTCCAGACCAATAAAATAGCAGTGGTCTGTCTTTTCATGTTCTCCTGCCACATTGCTCTCTCTTCATTTAAGGATAGCCCCAAGACTTACAAAGGCACTGTGAAATTCTGATGCTTTGGGCACAGTGTTCTTCCTACAAGGTGATGAGAGGACTTGGATATTGTTTCAGTTTTTATGTAGTCAACAGAGAATGTTTGTTTTGTTTTGTTGTTGGTCACGGGGCTTGAACTCAGGGCCTGAACATTGTTCTTGAGCTTTTGTGCTCAAGGCTAGTGCTCTACCACTTTGAATCACAGGTCCACTTCTGGTTTTCTGATGGCTCATTGGAGATAAAAATCTTTCCAGCCTGGGCTGGCTTTGAACTGTGATCCTCAGATCTCAACCACCTGAGTGGCCAGGATTACAAGCATGAGCCACCAATACCTGGCTAGAATGTTCAGTTTATAAGCATAAATATACTTGTGGCACATGCCTAAAATCTCAGCACCTGAAAGCTAAGATAGGAGGATTATGAGTTCAAGGTCTATGTTGAGAGAACCTGTCTCTGGGGGAAAAATAAATCTAAAACAAACAATCCAAAACAACAATAAAACCCCACAAATACCACCTCCACCATCCCTCCCCCATTTCCCCCCCCCCCCACCGCCAAAAAAAAATCCAAACCACAAAGTATTTCTCATGGTTCATGCTCTAACAAGACATTCTGCACTGTCATGCTTTGTATAGTTAATGTGTACAATGTTATCACATAACTGCTGCACTCAAGATTTCATGATAGGTTTTTTCTTTTCTGGTACTAAGGTTTGAACTCGGGGGCCTCATATATGTTTGGCTTGCTTGGCTGTCACTACTATTTGTGCCACACCTCAATTAGTTTTTTGCTGGTCTTTTGGAAATGGAGTTTAGTGAAGTTTTCTGCTTGGGCTGGCTTAAAACCACAATCTTTAGATCTCAGTCCCCTGAGCAGCTTAGGATCACAGATGTACACAAGTGGTCATGTTTTTCAAACAACACTGAATTTTAAGTTAAAAATTGTTTAGTAACAGTTTATAAATACCTGTAAATGTGGGAGGAGCTCTGAAAGTGAGCAATGGGAAGAACTAGGACAGAGAAGACTCTAGAAAGAGTCTAAACTGTAAATATAACATGGAGAGCAACTCTGAGGGAGAGAGCAGAAGAAAAGAGCTGTAGAGTGAGTTTTCTCAGTGATTATTCATATGGTTGTGATTGGTTGAGCTGGAGACACTCAAGGCCATTTTTAGATGTCAGATAGCACTGAGAAAGGCTGTGCTACAGAGTGAAGTCAAGACCATCCTTGTTAAGCTGCAACATAGACAGATGGTATTTCATCCTGCCTGAGGTCTTATGGTATGCAGGGCTAAAGAAAGAGGGCCTAGGATTATCTGGCTGAAGACATAGCTAAGTATCCATGCATTCAGGCTGCTGCATGGCTTAGTTTCCACCACATAGAGTAAGACAAGATAATAAAGACAGGATTTAAGATTATAATTAAAAGCAAAGCAAAACTATTTGGAAAAATTTCAACCTGGTCACCCAAAGAATAAGAAAATGTATTGGGGAGAAGAGGGTTGAGATTCATAGGCTTTGAAGGGAGCCACATGCTAGTCATCAAGATGGGAGAACAGCAGTTTCAAAAATCTTTGAGCTGCTCACTGGCCTAGAGGTTAGGATGTGCAGGTGCGTGGTTGCTACCCAGCCTCCTTGCATTCCTACACTGTGCATCTACCACCTCAGCCATGGCTCAAGCACACTGAGATATAACTGGTCCCATCACTCTAGAATTTACAAGCCGTCCCATCACTCTTGTATTTACAAGCAGTAAGCCCTGGCAATGTCCACAAGGAGTCTGCAGGGCTGCAAAACCTATGGGGCATGCTACCTCCACCAAGACTTTAAAAGATGTTGCAGACTAACTGATACTCAGCACTAGAGAGCCTCAGAATTGGAGCTATGCCTATGAAGGTAAGACCTTCCTTGAGACCTCAAACTGGGGGTGCTGTACAATGTGCAATACCAACCTAGAAGGCCTGCTGCCTGGTTTGAGCCCAACAAAGCCATGGGGTTAGAGGCACACAGGCCAAGAAGATGAAGCTTCTACCCTAGAGGGATCAGGATATGGTATTTGGAATCAAAGAAACTGTTGTCCAGATTTAAGATGTAATGTTATTTTCTCTGTTTCAATTTATTTGAGGTCAGTAAACCCTCTCTCCTTGACTACTGCTCCCTTCTGGAATATGAATGTCTATCCTCTGCCTGTCTCACCATTGTATTTTGGAGTAGAAGAACGTGTTTAATATGTAATAGGCTTACAACTGCAAAGACTCTGCCTTTTGATGAACTGTGCCTGCTGCATCTCCCTCTACTCAGGTAAGACTCTGGAAGTTTAGCTTGATGCTAAAATTTAGGGGCTATTGGGATAGGATGAATTTATTTTGCATGTGATAAAAGACATTAATTTGGAGAACAGAATGTTATTGTTTGAATGTGTCCCCTAGGAGTTCATGTGTTTGAAACTTAATTCCCAAACACATACATTGATAGTAGTTGGAGGTGGGACCTTGGGAGTGGTTAAGGTTAAATGATGTCATAAGAGTGGGGCCCCTTATGAGATCAGTGACTTTATAAAAGGAAGTTTGCACATGTGCTCTATATTATCATGTGATACACTCTGCCATGTTATGACACAGCAAAAAAGGCCTTTACCAGGTCTTGGACATTCCACTCTTCAAAACCACAAAAAAAGCATTTCCTTTATAAATTACTCAGACCCTAGTTCTGTTATAGCAGTAGCCAAATGAACTAAGACAATTCTAAGAACTGCATCAACATATATTCTTTCATATAACTCCAATATTAAACCTCCTGCAACACAGTATGATCTGTATTCTTTCATGCAACTTTTATAAAACTATACCCCTATAATTATAATTTCTAAAGGTTAACAAATATTCATTCCATTAAACAATCATCCATTAGCTAATAGCCCATTGTTGAATACATAGGGTACTTTATTTCTAAATGAATTCTTTCCTCTATTATCATTTTTATTCTTTTCTATAATTTTTTAAGTTAATGAAGTGTGGTTATAACTGCTTTATGGACTTTAAAACAGACTGCCAAATTATTTTTTTTTTAAGGATTATACTGCCACTGCTGGTTGGATGGCTAGAATTTATTCTACTTGTCAGTTACAATGAGCTCAGAAGAATTCCCAAGCCAAGGACCCTAGGGGAATTCCCATCCTACAGACCACAGCTACCAAGGTGGGAATTCCCCTAACCACAATCTATTAAGAGAAAATTAAATGCAGGTTTCAGAGTATAAGTTTCAAAAACAACCAGCTGATCCTTTCAAATACCTGACAGTTGAGCCTCCAAAAGGAAACTGATATCTGGCTTCCTGGTATTTACATTTGGGTCTAAGAAGTAACTTTCATTTCTATCATGTGTTGATTTGAGACCTCAAATGCTATTCTAGCATAGGATATCATGGTAAAGATAAAGAAATGGAAAAACAGACAATGTAAAGATAACACAAAATCCACAATCAAAAGGAGTAAGAAGGTATTCATGCCTGTAAGCTTCTCAGAAGGCTCAGATGTAAGGTTCTTTGGTTCAAAGCCAGCAAGGGCAGGGATGTTCAGGAGAATCTTATCTCCAATTAAACAACAAACTCAGAAGTGGAGCTTTGTTAAAGTGGTTAAGAGTGCCAGCTCTGGGCTGGGAAGGTGGCTCAGTGGTAGAGCGCTTGCCTTGCATGCATCAGGCCCTGAGTTCGATTCCTCAGTACCACATAAGCAGAAAAATCTGGAAGTGGTGCTGTGGCTCAAGTGGTAGAGCGCTAGCCTTGAGCTGAAGATCTGAGGGACAACACCCAGGCCCAGAGTTCAGGCCCCATGACCACCACCACCACCAACAACAAAAAGGAACAAAAGAAGGCAAAAAAAAAAAAAAAAAAAAGAGTGCCAGCTCTGAGTGAAAAGCTAAGGGACAATGCTCAGGCCTGAGTTCAAGCCCCAGTACTAGCACAGAAAATAAAAAAGAGCTATAAGAATTATATGAATAAATATCTAACTTCAATTATACTTCATAATCTTTTTTCACTCTCAAGTACAGCCTCAATAAATTAAACATAAAGGTAAAGCAGGTACTACCTATTTTCAGATGAATTTGGTGCCTTTTGGGATCCATACTATTCTCAAGTTTATAAAGTCATTAGGGATTATTCTTTCTCTAATATTGCTCATAATGTTTGAAGACATATATTTTTAAAATGAACAAAGAATTTTTTTTTCCCATGCCTGTTGGGGCCTGGGTTTCATGGTTCAACACCAGCAGTGGGCAGTGAGTATAAGGCCCTAGACCGAATCTCCATGGCTGAAGCTGGGGGTGATTTTCAATGAACACTGGTATAAAGAATTTTTTCTTGAACAAATTTAACTTCCTATATTTCCTACAACAAATCTATAATTGAAATCATCAGTGGAGACTCAAAATAGGGAAGGAAAAGGGCGACCTCTAAAATTGAGAGATGTCAAAACAGGGACAGAAGAAAAATCATCTTGTGTCTTAGTAAAGGGATAGTAATAAATCACCTATGGCCAGGTAGTTCCGCTGGAACTCCACCCCAGGGAGAGCTTGGGATCACTACAGTTTGGAGCCCATGAGAAATACTCCTTACATAGGAGGAAGTCCCCTCTCTCCATACCTGCTCACAACTTAAACATAGCCAGGAGAGCCAAACAAGGAAGAAAGCTTAGGCTCCTTTTCTACTTCCTCTCAACCACAAACTAAGGCATCTCAGCAGGCCTGATAGGTGCAACAGAGACCTAGCCTGAGATAGAACCTTTCCAATCTTCTCAAATGGGAAGACATGAACAGATGTAATTAATAAAAATTAATAAAATTAAGACAACAGATATAATTAATAAAAGCATGAAATAAAGAAACACCCAAGGTACAAAAGAACATTTTTTCTGCCTATCCCCTCTGGTCCTGGGAAACAGAATTCCTTGAAGGAAAGGAGAAGCCTTGAAAAACTGTGTGGTTTCTTTTTGAAAGCAAAACAAAAAATAACATTCAAGGGGAAAGTGCATCTGTGCAGCGATAATAGGACCACAAGGAGGAACAGTTATGACTACATTGAATAAAACAAACATACCATGAAGGTGGCAACCTAGGAAAGAGATTTGGAAATAAGCAAGTCCCAGAAACATAGGAAAAAGGTTTAGAGAAAACAAAATACGAAAGGGAAAATGATGAGTCATGAATGATCCAGGAACAGAAGAGAAACAGTATCAAGTAAATAACAATTTTTTTTTTCTTTTGAGGTGGTAAGACATTTGAGTCTTCTTAAGAACAGAAACCCCAAGTTTTACACAACATTAATGTAAAGAGTTATCATGAAAGGTCTTGCTTTTCAGAATAAAGAAACAATTCTGTAAGCATTCAAATGGTAGGCAAGAGAAGTTCACCAAGGAGGAAAACTAACGGGGCATCAAACAGAGAAATAGTAAATACCAGAGGAAAAAACAAAACAAACAAAAAAAACTACCCCCAAACCAGAATGAAAGTATGAAGCCAAAGACTGAGCTAAGGATTCAAGAACCTAACGCCACTGAGCCAGAAGCTGTAGTTCCAGATACTCAGCCTGAGCAATGCAGTGAACTCATCTGGAAATAAGAAATCTAGCCAGGATATGGTGGATATTCACAGGTAAGAGAAAGACATAATTTGCAAAGACTCATTGATTCAGGGAATGAGGTCATAGAAGTAGAGAATTAAATAATACCATAGACTGCTTAAGAGCTATCAGAAGGTGATAGTCATTCACATCCTTGTGTGTGGCCCCTGAGACCATGGTGGACAAACACTGGCCAAGTCCTCTCATGCTAACATCCAGTCGTTTTTTGGTTGGCTCTTTCCATGATGCAGTTATAGGACTTAGAATATCTCTGCTGAAGTAGTTGCTTGAGCCAGCTACTAGTGGCTCAAGCTGGTAATGAGGATTGAGGTTTAAGCCAGGATGGGCAGCAAAGTCTATGAGTCTCCTTCCTATCTTTAACCACTGAAAAGCTGGAAGTGGAGCTATGGCTCAAGTAATATTAGTACTAGCAAAAAAACGAAACAACAACAAAAAACCTCAGGGACAGCACCTGAATGAGTTCAAGCCCTAGGATTGGTGCACACATGCGCATCCCCTTACCCCCACATGCACGCACATACACAAAGTAGTTGCTTGACCATAATAAGCACTGCCATTTTAAGGGTAGCTGCCATCTTATAAGAAGCTATTTTATTTCAGCCACACACATTCTGCTATAATAACTGCTTTTCTAGGGGCTGGAAGCATGGCCAGAGAGTAAGAATTGTTTTTCTGACAAGTTTTAGCCAGGTATTCTGGTTTAGATTGATTGCTTGGATGAACTTTTTCCTTCCTTCCTTACTTATGTATGTATGTATGTATATATTTATTTTGTAAGTTGTAGGGTTTGAGCTCCAGGCCTGGGCACTGTCTCTCAGCTCTTTATCTCAAGGTGGGTACTCCACCACTTGACCCACAGCACCACTTCCAGTTTTCTGGTGGTTAATTGGAGAGAAGAGTCTCACAGACTTTCCTGCCTGGGCCGGCTTTGAACCTCAATACTCAGATCTCAGCCTCCTGAGTAGCTAGGATTACAAGCATGAGCCACCAGCACCCAATTTTCCTGTTATATTATAATTAAGCAATATCCTGTAGCCAATTGAACCAGTTTGTAAACCTAAGTTTAGGTCAATTAAGAGCAATATTATGCTAGGCATAAAATCTAGGTGAACTGCCCTCCCAGCACACTTGTTTACTTAGCTTTCTGTCAGCCTGCCCTTCTCCAGAAGTAAAATCTTGCCTTGCAGAGTTCCTTTTGAATTCATGTCCTTATTCCTTTGCAATACCCCAATATCCCAAGACATTTCCAACACAGTGAGATTGTGATGTCCTTCATAGCATCAAAGCCTTGCTCATCTCCCTAACTACCTGCCCACCTTTAACTTCATGTACTTGAAATCACCTGGAGCTGCCATCAATATGCATAGTTTAAAAAAATCTAGCAAAATCACCTTCCTATATTGTTTTATGTCAGATAGAGCAATATGACTTGTACACTTTTTGTCAGCCATTAGAGCTCCAAACTGTTACAATATAAAGCAAGTGGCAGAAAGACCAAGGTGAGTAAATAACACCTGCAACACACTGAGTTTAAGAGGGAGAAATGGCTAAAAGCCTTTGTCCCAGGCTGCAATGAGATTATAATTCGCTGCTGGCTTCCCATTTTCATAAAGCACAGGTAAATATTCAAAGCTAGAGAATAATAGAAAATAACAACATGCCAAAACTGTTAGATGTTCACATGTGTATATAGATACACAAACAATTCTACATCTTTCTATATATATGTATATATCAAGTATATATATGTATTTGATGACATACTTTATACCATATTTTTCTGACATACACATACATGTCATAAAAATATATCAGAGAAAATACTATTACAGTATCACCCCATGGTATATGTGTATGCCATTCAAGAATTGTTTATGAATTAAAGAACTAAAGAAGCAGCCAGGCACTGGTGACTCATGCCTGTAATCTTAGCTACTCAGGAGGCTAAGATCTGAGGATCCAGGTTCAAAGCCAGCCCCAGCAGGAAAGTAAGTGAGCCTCTTATTTCCAATAAACCATCAGGAAACCAGAAGTGGCACTGTGGTTCAAGTGGTAGAACGCTCGCTCACCTTGAGCTGAAGAGCTGAGAGACAGTACCCAGGCCCAGAGTTCAAGCCCCATAACTGACCAAAAAAAAAAAAAAAAAAAGCACTAAAGAAGCATTTTCAAGGGGCTGTGAAGGTGGTTCAGTGGTAGAGTGCTTGCCTTGCATGCATGAGGCCCTGGGTTCCATTCTTCAGCACCACGTAACGGAAAAAGCTGGCAGTGGCGCTGTGGCTCAAGTGGTAGAGCACTAACCTTGAGCTGAAGAGCCCAGGGACAGTGCCCTGGCCCAGAGTTCAGGCCTCACAACCGACAGAGGGGGGAAAAAAAACAGAAGCATTTTCAAATGACTAAGAAGAAATGAATAGAAAAAAAGGAAATAAGGAATGGTTGAATCACTGTGTAATAATACAAACTACAAATCACAGTAAGCAATAAACTCATTAAACATCAATCTAAATATAATACTATTGTGAAAATTAATGCTAAAATCTTAAATTTTTGTTGTGAAAGGCAACACACACAGGCAAGTATAAACCAGCATGTATAGTTCAAGTAACCATACAAAATACACATTCTTTTATGAATAGCTATATCCATATATACATCTCCAATACAAACAGAGAAAAGGGACAAGGAAAATAAAAATGAATAGAGCCTCAAAGTCCTATGAGACAAGAGGAAAGGTCAAACATTTATGTATTAAAGCCCCATAAGGGAGAGAAAAAGTGTAAGTCAGTAAAAACCCTTGAAGATTAGATGAATATTTCCTACATTAGGCTAACAATATTAACTTGCATATTGGAGCTCAGAAAACTCCCAACAAAATAAGCACAAAGAAATCCATCATATCATAACCCAACTGTAAACACTAAAGATGAAAAAAATATTGAAAATAACCAAAGAAAAGGACATATTATTTACATAGAGGACAAAGGTCTCAAAGACTGTGGGCTTCTTAATAGAAATCAGAACCCAGGAGAAAGTATAAAAGCATTTTGAAATGCTGAAAGAGCAATTAATACTGAAGCTATAAGTAGCTAAATATTTTTCGGAATGAGAATATGCTAAAAAAAATATATTGTAAACAGATCGATGCCATAACAAACACTGAAGAAATTTTTCAGACAGAAAAGAATCTGTATCAATAGGAAATAAAACATCAGAAATGACAAAATAAAAAAATGATGAATACCTGGATAATTATACTTTTCAATTGACTTCTTTATTATATGTTTGACAACTGAAAGCAAAACTTACAACTGGTTTTTTAATGCACCTAAGTGTAACAGGTAAGACCTCTACAAATGTGAAGGGGGCATAAGCTAGTAAGGTTCTGCACCTCATTTGAAGAGGTTAAATACCAAGTAGACTGTAATGTTTTATGTATACATAAAATATACATTGTCATTTCTAATAATAATAAAAACAATCTCTGCAAAGACACATAGTAAAATATACATAGAAAAATTAAAATGAAATACTAAAAGATGTTTGAATGAATGACATATAGGACATGCACCAAATGATTACAGGACGCTCACCAAAAGTCAAAACTTCATAGAGATGGAGCACAGGTCATCCTTGGCTTCCAGGACTTAGGACTTAGGAACAGTATCAGGAGAAATTGTTCTATATTATGTTTGTGGTAATGCTGA